AAGAAAGCTTAATAATCAAGTATCTACCTGTGTGCTTATGTTTCACTTTATAGATACGAATAACATTTTACCAGTTGAACTTGCATGTTTATTTTTGTGAGTGAGCCTTGCCTCATCTCTTGATTATAAAATAGTTTCTTTGTTTTTGGATCTGATCGAGTAAACCAATAGACGATGTATCCTCTGGAGAGACCTGCAATCCCCCTAGAGTCTGCAAAAGAGAACCAGAATCTGATTTGCTGAACTGTTTGTGAATACCAACAGCTCACTACACCCTATTTTACCTCTCTCTCACCCCACTGTCTTCTCTCCCCCCAGCTGTTTTCTGATGGTCTGTGCACAGTTATGGATTGTCTACATGGTTCTAAGTGACCCTGTGTAAGACAAGCCCTCTGTGATGTCCAACAAGTCCATATTAGAGCTGGAAGTAGATCCAAGGTCTGGCGCATGCTTCCTCTCTTAGGAAGCAAGCACTGGTGAAAATCCAACAGGGTCCAAGAGTTGTCCTGTCACAATACACTTTTGAAGAATATTCTCACCATCCATCACAGTATTGCAAACTTCAACTTTCTAAAATCTTGGGATTGACTTTTAAAAAAATACCTTTGGGGTTTTTATTTGCCTTCTGGTTTGTGAGCCTTCGGGTCACATTTTCTAGCTTTTCTCCGCAACCAACAGGGCTAGACACACATTTTTGTTTTTTAAAATGAAGGCTGAGATTCTCGTGTATTGACATATCTCCTGGAGCTATGGCTTGAAGAAAAACACCAAATATCATGAGGCTCGCAATAAAATCGTGAGAGTTGGCAACAGTGACCTACATAAATCCATATACAGTAGAATCTCAGACTTACGAACACCTTGGGAATGGAGGTTGTTCACAACTCTGAACAAGACGTCAGGGCAGACTGCTTGGAGTGGGGCTCACAGCTGTGCCTGCGACCTTCAGCATTTTCACCTCCTACCTGTAAGTGGCTGCCCGGCAAGTGGGTGGTGGGGACAGGCAGCTGGTTCTAACCCCCTGGCTGCCAGGGTGATGAGTGAGGCACCCTGGGGCACCGCGGTGTCAGTTGGCACGTGGTGCAGGCTGTGGCCCTTTGAAACTGAGCAGCTCCTCCAGAGCACAGTGTCAGGCAGGAGCTTGGGCTCCAGCAGGAGCTCGGGAAGTTTCTTTCCCGGGCTGGGACTGAGCATGCAAGCTTATCTCCCTCCCCAGGGGGAGGGGAGAAACTGCACGCAGGAAAGCAATGAAGACCCCAGCGCTGCTGCTGCTCTGCCTGCTCAAGGGCTCACAGCTGTGCCTGTGAAACTCAGCGTCTTCACCTCCTACCGTTAAGTGGCTGCCCCCCATGTGGCAAGTAGGCGATGGGAGTGGGGACAGGCAGCCCAGATGTGCCTACCTTTAAGATGCAATACAGGCACAGTACAGTACAGCTGGTGTTCTCTTTTTTTTTTTTTTTTTTTTTGGTCTCCCCTGCTGCCTGATTGCTTGCTTCCGGGTCCACATGGTGTCTGGTTGACTGGTCAGTTTGTAACTCTGGTGTTTGTATCTTTGAGGTTCTATTGTAGTACACTGTAGTTTTATAATGCACCAGG